GCATTCTTACCAATAGCATGGCAGCAGCTCATCTCAAAAAAGCATTCTTACCAATAGCATGGCAGCAGCTCATCTCAAAAAAGCATTCTTACCAATAGCATGGCAGCAGCTCATCTCAAAAAAGCATTCTTACCAATAGCATGGCAGCAGCTCATCTCAAAAATGCATTCTGACCAATAGCATGGCAGCAGCTCATCTCATAAAAGCATTCTGACCAATAGCATGGCAGCAGCTCATCTCATAAAAAGCATTCTAACCAATAGCGTGGCAGCAGCTCATCTCAAAAAAGCATTCTGACAAATAGCATGGCAGCAGTTCATCTCAAAAAAGCATTTTGACCAATAGCATTGCAGCAGCTCATTTAAAAAAAGCATTCTGACCAATAGCGTGGCAGCAGCTCATCTCAAAAAAGCATTTTGACCAATAGCATGGCAGCAGCTCATCTCATAAAAGCATTCTAACCAATAGCATGGCAGCAGCTCATCTCAAAAATGCATTTTAACCAATAGCATGGCAGCAGCTCATCTCAAAAATGCATTCTGACCAATAGCATGGCAGCAGCTCATCTCAAAAAAGCATTCTAACCAATAGTATGCCAGCAGCTCATCTCAGAAATGCATTCGGACAAATAGCATGGCAGCAGCTCATCTCAAAAAAGCATTCTGACCAATAGCGTGGCAGCAGCTCATCTCAAAAAAGCATTCTTACCAATAGCATGGCAGCAGCTCATCTCAAAAATGCATTCTGACCAATAGCGTGGCAGCAGCTCATCTCAAAATAGCATTCTGACCAATAGCATGGCAGCAGCTCATCTCAAAAATGCATTCTGACCAATAGCGTGGCAGCAGCTCATCTCAGAAATACATTCTGACCAATAGCGTGGCAGCAGCTCATCTCAGAAATGCATTCTGACCAATAGCATGGCAGCAGCTCATCTCAAAAAAGCATTCTTACCAATAGCATGGCAGCAGCTCATCTCAAAAAAGCATTCTTACCAATAGCATGGCAGCAGCTCATCTCAAAAATGCATTCTGACCAATAGCATGGCAGCAGCTCATCTCATAAAAGCATTCTGACCAATAGCATGGCAGCAGCTCATCTCATAAAAAGCATTCTAACCAATAGCGTGGCAGCAGCTCATCTCAAAAAAGCATTCTGACAAATAGCATGGCAGCAGCTCATCTCAAAAAGCATTCTGACCAATAGCATGGCAGCAACTCATCTCAAAAATGCATTCTTACCAATAGCATGGCAGCAGCTCATCTCAAAAATGCATTCTGACCAATAGCATGGCAGCAGCTCATCTCAAAAAAGCATTCTTACCAATAGCATGGCAGCAACTCATCTCAAAAATGCATTCTTACCAATAGCATGGCAGCAGCTCATCTCAAAAATGCATTCTGACCAATAGCATGGCAGCAGCTCATCTCATAAAAGCATTCTGACCAATAGCATGGCAGCAGCTCATCTCATAAAAGCATTCTTACCAATAGCATGGTAGCAGCTCATCTCAAAAAAGCATTCTTACCAATAGCATGGCAGCAGCTCATCTCAAAAAGCATTCTGACCAATAGCATGGCAGCAGCTCATCTCAAAAATGCATTCTGACCAATAGCATGGCAGCAGCTCATCTCATAAAAGCATTTTGACCAATAGCATTGCAGCAGCTCATTTAAAAAAAGCATTCTGACCAATAGCGTGGCAGCAGCTCATCTCAAAAAGCATTCTGACCAATAGCATGACAGCAGCTCATCACAAAAAAGCATTCTAACCAATAGCATGACAGCAGCTCATCTCAAAAATAACTTCTTACTAATAGCATGGCAGCAGTTCATCTCAAAAAAGCATTTTGACCAATAGCATTGCAGCAGCTCATTTAAAAAAAGCATTCTGACCAATAGCGTGGCAGCAGCTCATCTCAAAAAAGCATTCTTACCAATAGCATGACAGCAGCTCATCTCAAAAATACATTCTGACCAATAGCATGGCAGCAGCTCATTTCAAAAAAACCTTCTGACCAATAGCGTGACAGCAGCTCATCTCAAAAAAGCATTCTAACCAATAGCATGGCAGCAGCTCATCATAAATTATAGGAAAACAGGTATATTCGCTGGATTTTATTTTCACAGAACCACTCCTTCAGCAAAAATTAATTCCAAGCGAAAATAAAGCATTCTACAGTATATGAATGTTAACTCCTTAACTTATCTATGAATAATATGTGTGGAATCATGCCATTGAGAGAATGTTACTACATTATATACCTTTATTTTACAGTCTTGTTGCAAAGCCTATGAATATATGGGTTTTATAATGGAGAAGGAGCAGTCATACAGAGACGCAGCAATGAATTATGAGAAAGCATGGAAATATGGAAACCAGTCAAGTCCAACTATTGGTAAGGATTTTTGTCTTGTCTCAGTTTCCCCCAATTTATTAGTTCCCAGTGTGCTATCACTTGGAAACTGAGTTTTTTTCGTTTTTGTTGTCTTATTAATATATAAAATCTGGAGATTATTTACATCAAAAAAATTTGCAAAACATATCAACCTTGGAATCAATAAAGGTTACTGTTGTGTTGGGATTCCTTCCATCAATTAAAACTGATCAGAACAAATTTGTCCTGAAAATATCATTTTTAGATCACTACACAATTTTTGTTCAATCGGGTCGTTGCTTAAATTGAGTTCAATACACTTTGGTTCCAGGCCAAACTGAGTCAAATACACTTAGGTCAAATTGGGTCAAAAATCAAACTCAGTCAAATACATTTGGACAAAGGTCAAACTGAGTTCAATACACTTTGGTCCCAGGCAAAACGGAATCAGATATACTTGAGTCAAGCTGAGTCAAATCAAAGTCGAACTGAGTCAAATAAGCCTAGGTCAAAGGTTCAATTGAGTCAAATGCACTCAGGTCAATGGTCGATCTGAGCCAGCCACACTTCAGCCAAAGGTCAAGCTGAGCCAAATACACTTGGGACAAAGGTCAAACAAACTTGGGTCAAAGATCAAACTGAGCCAAACACACTTGGGTCAAGGGTCAAACTGAATCAAACACACTTGGGTCAAAAGTCAAACTGGGTCAAATAACACTTAGGTCAAAGGTCAAACAGAGTCTAATACACTTGCGTCAGAGGTCCAACTGAAGCCAACAACACTGGGGTCAATATTAAGCAAATATTAATAATTACATATTAAATAGTATTATACCCCACAACCCAGAGGGGAAAATATATATATATACTAGTGCCCGAATTAGGCCATGCAATATGTGTTTTATAACACATTACACGTTCATACTAGGAAGGTGCATAGATCGTCTGCCGTCTTCTTCTCGACGTCTGCTAGCGGTGTCCCGATTTCTTCACAAAACGATGTAAAGACGCTTATAGAAAACCTGATTGCGTCCTCCGTCTTCAGTTCTTTATTTCCTACTAGTGTGTCAAGTTCTTCTGAACTAAAGCTAAATCGTCCAGTCTTTCGAGACGGACCATCGATATCAGCGACCAAACTAGCAGACGACATATTGGAAATCACATGATCAGGTGACGAGTGACGTCATCCCTGGGCACTAGTTGATGTACTCGTCTTCCTAGGGAACTAGTAATTTCCCTGGCACTACTATGGTAATTTAGTCGAAAACATGTGATCCTGTCTTGACCATTTACAGTACAGTATTAACGATTGATGTGTTATGATGTGAATTATTCCATGGTAAGAAGTACAGAAATAATAATACATTTGTAATGTCATTTCTTGTTTGCAGGTTACAAGTTGGCATTCAATTATTTGAAAGCTAAGCGATACGTAGATGCTATTGATGTGAGCCATAGAGTGCTTGCCGGACATCCAAACTATCCCAAAATGAGAAAAGATATACTTGATAAAGCAAGAAGTCTCCTAAGAGTCTGAATGAAAAAAAAGATATGATGTTGACAGTTGTAGCAATTTTAATGCTTGGATTTAATTTCATTTAAATTTTTCATTGAAGGGTAAATCTGTAAAAATTAAAAATATTTGTCATTTGTTTAACATACAAATCAGTGAGAATACAGATTGTTGTTTTCAATAAATTGTAGGTCGTATATAAAGAATTATTTTTATATATCTGGCAAAGGAACTAAAAGAATTTAATTTTCTGTGAAAAGCTGTTTTTTTTTTTTTGTATTTGCTCACATCGTGTTTGCATTCTTTTGAATATTCCATTATTTAGAGTAAACAAATTCCGGATTATTGATGTTATATTCAAACACTTTGTTTACATTGGATGCTGAAGCACTATAGCATGTGACCGAATAGGTGATTTTCCGTACAATTGCGAGATCTCGCGAGATGCATGAAAGACGCGCGTCGAACGTCTGCCGCAAAAATCAAACGATTTGATTTTGAACTAAAATTTCTTTATTTCGTAGCTTACATTGACCGGCCGATCTTCGACAGAGGAATATTGCTTCCGAATACCCTTACTTAATTGAAATTGTCTATCATCAAATGTGAACAGCACATTATTAAGCATGGAAATGTCCCCAAAATACTTTCGCGTTTGTCGAATCCCACGCGATGTTTGACGCCACTACGACGCTATGACCTTTGTTTGTCCTGTTTTTACGTTCGATTTCACGCATAACGCGTGATTCTCGCAGTGAACGGAAAATGGTCTATTGGATTCTGTCCATGATTGCGAATGTTCGCACGTCACAAAATATTTTGTTGTTGTCATTTTAAGCTCTTAAGATATTAATTTTAAGGTTAACATGAGAATACCGCAAAGTATGTACTCAGGCAGTACAGGATTGCATTGATTTTCGCTATACGTGGGATCATCGTGTACTGCCTTTGTGCATACTTTACGGTATTCTCATGATAATAAAAATGACTAAAACTTTGCTATCTAGACATATACAAAATAAGAGGATTTTAGAGTTTGCAAGAACAATTTTGCGACTTCTTTATCTTAACCTTCTCATCACCAGTTCCCTCTTTTCATCACAAATTCATAAAATAATCTTGTTTATAGTCTGCACTTTCATTTCAGAGAATTAGGACAAACTAGTCAAATTTTTTGAGTGAAAACTGAAAATTCTAGAAATATTGAAGATATATAACAAACAAGTGCTGAATAATTTGGTAGAGAAAGTCAGGTTGTGAAAACGTTTAGAGCTGGCGTTCGATGTGGGTTCCATATGAAAGTATACAATTGTTTACACATGCGTTCCATGGTGATGATGGTCAGTAAGGTCTCCAGTCAAATAGTAACATTCGCGCATATATAGAAGTGAAATCATCAGTCTATGAGTACCGGTAATCATTTTAGTATTGGTCATCAGTATGTGAGATTTTAAAATAAACTGTCAATTGTTTTTTTGTTTTGTCTTTAAATAATGCATAAAATAGCAATTTAACAGCAGTGACAACAATCTTATAATTTAATGGGACATGTTTTACATTTATCTTAATAATTTGGTCACAGTTTGTTTTCACACATGCCCTTGCATACCAATTATACACAATTCATTCACAAAGTATCAACAATTTGCAAAGACTTTCATGAAACTGTAGTTAAGTTTAAAGCGGGGGGGAGTCGTCACCTGCGCATGTGTCAGATAACCATAGTGTGTCATTGTTTACAAACAAGCGTCTACCCATGAGCCTTTGCATTTTTACCGTGTGTTGTTATCGTCGCTTGGGACTCAATTCGCACGCGTGCGCAGGTGACGACCCTCCCGCTTTAAGCATAAATACAGGGCAGAATTTGATACATTGAAAAAAAATGTTTACAAAGCTGCTCTCTGATTGGTCTGATTGTTGTGTGTTAAGATTGGATAGCCAATCAGAAACAATCTTGTAAAGTAGCTTCCCATTGACTTCGATCATACTCATAAATTGATCTTGGCTAACTGTATGCAATACATGCATTTTGAGAGATACTTCCAATTTGTAAATATTTTTAAAATATTGTCAAACAATTTGATATTTACTGTTATTTTCTTCACTGTCTATGAATATTTTGTGCTTGTACATATTTTAATATTAAATATGCATTGTGATATTAAATCTATTTCAAAATGAAAGAGATTTGATCGTTGTCATTTCTTTGATTACTACTAAGCCCCATTGGATAATTGCTACGTTTACACAACAACATTCTATCGAAGCCAAAAAACTGCTCCTCCCCCCAATTAACAGATTATCTCTAATGTGTTTACACGGTCGGGCTGAACAAGAGCGGGTATCTGCCATGAAAAGTGTTCTTAATTACGGAAACAACATGGCTGAAAACGAATTTGCTGCAGTGCTTGTATTGGTGTTTATTTTCATGGGATGATGTATAGTATTATCCTGTGTAGCAGAGAAGGATGAGAAACGATTCTGGACAATGTACTGGTGTTAAACAGGAATCAGAACAGCTAAAATATGCTAAATGTCTTACTGCCTATTCACAAAAGTTATTGCCATACAAATTAACCTTTTCCAGAAGAAACACGTTGCCATACTGTGACTGCTTCTATGATTTTTATCTTTGGTGTCTTTAATAGTTTCTTAAATTTCCATTGATCTATTCAGTCATTCTTTTAAAGTTTTTGACTCGTAATTTTATACGCCATTTTTCTGTTTCCTTTTAGCTATCAATCTAATGCAGTATTTTTTTACTCTGCCAAATGTATATTAGGGCGCATACAGCTTCGTCGAGCAAGAAATTGCAAAAGATGTTTCCTCCGCTATAAATGAAATTGATGACTGAGGGCATGATTTTGGCCTCATTTGTGTTTACATAGTCAGAGCCATGTCGGGCCCAATTCTGCCAAATAGATATTGGGGCGCATACAGCTTCGTTGAGCCAGAAATTATAAAAGATGTTGCCTCTGCTATAAATGAAATTGATAACTGAGGGCGTGATTTTGGCCTCATTTGTGTTTACATAGTCAGAGCCATGTCGGGCCCAATTCTGCCAAATAGATATTGGGGCACATACAGCTTCGTCGAGCCAGAAATTACAAAAGATGTTGCCTCCGCTATAAATGAAATTGATGACTGAGGGCGTGATTTTGGCCTCATTTGTGTTTACATAGTCAGAGCCATGTCGGGCCCAATAGGTGATTTTCCGAAAAATTGCGAGATCTCGCGAGATGCATGAAAGACGCGCGTCGAACGTCTGCCGCAAAAATCGAACGATTTGATTTTGAACTAGAATTTCGCAGCTTACATTGACCGGCCGATCTTCGACAGAGGAATATTGCTTCCGAATACCCTCACTTAATCGAAATTGCCTATCACCAAATGTGGACAGCACATTATTAAGCATGGAATTGTCCCCGAAATACTTTCGCGTTTGTCGAATCCCACGCGATGTTTGACGCGACTACGACGCTATGACCTTTGTTTGTCCTGTTTTTACGTTCGATTTCACGCATAATGCGTGATTCTCGCAGTGTACGGAAAATGGTCTATTCTATCAGAGCTCAACTCTGAAGGTCTATTGGAGCTGTACGTGGATACACAGCCGTTTTCGCTGACTCAAGCCACAAGGCTCCAATATAATGCTGTCTTGTATATGCAGCAAATATAGTTGATATATTGTCAGGGTTGTTTATCCGTACTTTAAAGTGTGTTAGTCGTCGCGCAGCGCGTGTTTGAATTTCATGTAAATAAACAATGTATTTTACACGCGTTGTATACGTCGCTATGAATCCCATATCGAACAGGACGCGGCACAACGACTGCCACCCTTTAACATATTGTAGATAATGTAAGTTGATATATTGTGGTGGTGTTTATGGTATTCTAATCCTATATTTTTATGATGCATATTTGGGCTGGAAACATTTTCTAAATAATTTCCTGACAGAGGGGAAAGTTCACAGAGGGTCGGCAAGGGGTATTTTCGTTAGCTGTAATCAATTGCTTGTATTTTCGTAATAATGTAATTTAAGTAAATAAAAAACGGAAATTCGTAGACATGGACAAGGTGTAAAATGTGATCAGCTATTTTATTCGTCTGTAATTTGTACAAAGATCTTATTTTTTGTAAGCGTATAAAGCATTTTTCACGCTGAATGCTGCTTCTCGTGCACAATCTCCGAGTCCAATTTTGATTCTTAAACACAAATTATAAAATATATTATAGAAATGTAAAATTTAATTAGCAATTTGCTTTATCTGTAAAGTGTAAAAACCTATTTTTTACTGAAAATTTGAACATGTCATTTTATTTCCTGTAAAAAGGTAAAATGCCTTTTTTCTTTCCTGTAACTTATACCAGCTACCCCCCCCCCCCTTCACAGGCATGAAGAAACCTGCAGTGATGTGTGAGATGTGAGAGAACCAGATCTCCGAATATTGCTCAGGCGATTGTACCTGGGCATTGTGGGATACCCATATACAAAGATGTACAGAAAAGTGCACCAACTTTTTGTCGGGAACAATTCTTGCAATTTTGGCGTGGCACCTCAAAAAATATCATGCGGTAACAAGGACCATGCGCCATCCTGCGGTAAACTATTGCCTGAGACTGATGGTGAAGAAATGCTCAAAAACCTATGAAGTCTGACGCGTGGGGGCGCTTGTCTAGCAGACCGTTGCGTGGTTACATGGCGTGGTTATGTATCCTGACAATCAGCCAATTATTCGTACCTCGGGGCCTCCATAATGCCACAGTGTGGAGGGATTGTGATAAAACGCGTAATCATTTCAGATAAATTGTTTACCAGTCAATAAAAATCACACATTGTAAAGCAGAGTTTGTTTTGTTACCCGTTAAAAGATCTACCCGTAAAATTGACAAATCGCTGCTTTATTTACAGGGGAGGTAAATCGTTATGTGAGTGCATAAACGGCGAAAGCATGCTTCCGCGGTAACATGGCTGCCATTTATACACTCAAATAGACACACACCAAAAAAACAAAAACAAGAAGGAGAGACTCTATGCAAGTCTACACCCACCCCTTCCAATAAAACTAATGCCAGAATATTAGTTTAGGCAAATAAATAATTATAACTCGTCAAAAATAAAATAAAATAAAATTTCCGAAAATAAATTCATAATATAAGCCGAGTATTAGATATACTAGTAAAATTGATGGAATGTCGTCACCTCCTCTCCCATTACCTGTCCCACATAGTCGAGGTGGCGGTCTTTATTGTCGCTCATTGTTTTTTTCTACTTACTTTACTCAACAATTTTCAAACTGGCACCAGGGATTGTCACACGCACGAGTCCGGTCAAGGGTCAACTGCGGACGTGACGACGACGGCTATTCTCCTTCCCCGAGTTCCTTGCGGTTAGATCACCGAAATTATATATTCGTAGAAACAGAACTCAGCCTGAGAGATTGATCGACGGCATGCTGTCACATGTACATCACGACAGCTTTAGAACACGGTTACTAAAAAACTACTGCTTTTTTAGTAACCGTGTTTAAAACAAGTAAATAATAGCAATCGCAGAAAAAAAAGTTTCACAAAGCTCAGGACATCAGTGCACGTTTTATTTTATTTGGATCTATTATTAAAAAAAAATAGTAAAATTACAATAAATATACAAAATAAAATACACGCCGTTCAATACATAAGATTTTAATCAGGTTGCACGTTCAAGGTTCTTTGATACAATTCCACTTTATCATGAGAGCATTCTGAGATTACAAAAAACAAGACAATTATTAATTTGAAAAACTACTATGCTCAAGTGACAATTTTATTATGAATATCATTTGTTATGTTCTACAATGTTTTTAAATATGTCTGTGTATATTGTACATTGTTCATTTTTTATTGTTTGTGTAATTGACCTTAGGGACGACGTCAAATGATCAATGTCGGATAAAAAACTTATTTCCTTTAGTTTGGGGGTGGGGGGATTTTGACCTCAAAAAGTTTCCATCCTACAAAAACGATTTTATTTTTTAATGAAGTCAAAAAAATCTTGGAGTTTTTGTAGTTTGTTTTTGTTTTCTATCCAATCATGGACAGAAATAACAGAAAAGGGAAAAAAACAGAAAAATGGTTTGGTTTGAATGTCAATCTGTGCGTCAAATGAGGTGCATTTGTAAAATCTTTTTACACTCACCCGACAACCAACTGCTACGCAATACTACTGTCCGATTATCAATTTGTATTTAATGGTGAATGTAGTCTGACGCCATGACCGATATTTATCAATTAAGTTTCAGTGAGGGTAGGGGGGTTGGAAAAAAACTAAAGGAATTAAGTTTTTTATCCGACATCGATCTTTTGACGTCGTCCCTTAGATGTTATATGACATATATTTCATTTTGTTTCAAATATTCTATTCTATTCTATTCTATTCTATTCTATTCTATTCTATTCTATTCTATTCTATTCTATTCTATTCTATTCTATTCTATAAAAATAAGGCGAAATTTATTTGCATTTTTAGTTTCGCTTCCTTTCTTTCTCTTTCTTTTTCGAGAGAGAGAGAACCGAAATATTTGCCGGTGTATCGTCCTACGAAAGTCGTTTTCTGCGCTCAGCGCCCTCTATTGACGGTATACAGCGCACGTGTGAACTTGTGCTTGATTAAATGCATTTAGTAATAATAATAATAATAATCTTTATTGTAATCGTATCCTTATTAGGATCTTGACAAAAGTGTACAATAAAGTATAGAAAAACAAGAAGAAGTAAAAATAAAAAAATAACATTAAACACATTAAATAAAATTAAAGTACAAATGGTCTATCGATACCCAAGGGCATGACTTTGGGCGGTGTCACTTATTTTTTTCAAGCGAACTATTGTCCCTTTGTCGCTGCCACATCGGCTATTCAAATACCGCCCTACTTATTATGAAAATAAATACATCCTTTTCCAAGGGTCTTCGCTTCGCAGTTGACAAGGAACCAATTTTTAAGGCGATGTTTTAAAAAATTGCCTTAGCGTACACAAATTCTATTTTTCGAAGGCCGCCAAGCCAAACTCTCCCTTTGGGCATCGAAGCCTTCGTTGCCCCTACGAATGGACCCCGCAGTTACGTGGTGAATTGGCCTTCAGTAAACTGAGCGTGCCCTGAGTATTAAACTGGAGAATATAGAACGCAAAATCGAAAACACCCCCCCCCCCCGCTTATCTCACAGCACATGGAATGTGCTCATGCATGATATGAAATAAATATTTCTGACAGTATGTCATTATTATTTGGTCAAAGCTCAAATATAACCCGGACTCAAAGGTGAAAAGTGTTCTTTGTTAAACATTATGTATCCCTAACAAAATTCCCAACCTACCACGTGAGGTCCACCTCGTGTTTAATTTATCTACTATCGGGGCCAGGGTCATGTAGCGGTCGCTCGCATAGGTAATTACCCTTGGATTCGCACGTACCATTTTTTGGAACATATAAAAAGGGGCATTTCTTTGATTTTAGTCTATTTTTTTCGGTGATCTATGGGTGTTTTCATGGTGTATACTTCTCTATACATAGGATGGCAGTTGTAACCTGTATTCAACTGCAAGAAATTTTGATTAATACCAAAGAGAGGAATTGAGTTCAAACATTCAAACTAGCGCCCAGGAGAAAAATATTATGATAAATCGCAGTCTGAACAAATTATTATTTTCATCTGTTTGTTTTTATATTAGGCTGTTTTACGTGCTCTGTTGTCATTATAACTTGGCTACATTACCACGTGGTTTATTTTGCGTTCTATACAGCGCTGTAGCGGGGAGCAGCGCAAAGAACGGAAGAGCTCTTCATCAATTGGCCAAAAAATGACCGTTGACCAATCAGCGTTGATGTTAGCTTTCATCTGTCCAATCAGCTATGGCATATTATCGCCTGATCAGTAAATTTATTCATGAGGGGAAGTAACTTCTGCGCAGCACGCTGAAACGCTCAATTCTTCGTTGTACATCAACGAATGTTCTTCTTGTTTTCGTCTGTCACAAAACATCGTGGATTTTCACGATAATGCTGGCTATCCGTGCATTCCGTGGTGGTTGTAGAGGAAGAGAAGCGGCACATCTTTTGGGCACAGTAAGTTTTTAAAAAGAAATACGTGTTTTTTAGGGTGAAAATCACAGTTACAAATTTTGCTGTAATTCCTTGCGTACGGGGCACATTGCTTATAGCTGCTCACTGTATATAATTAAGAACGCTGCACATGCGACATACAGAAATTATGCCCAACTATGCTGGATATTTGACCGTCTAACACCTTCTTCCCAGTGCTTCAAATTGACCATTTCTTCCACATTTCCTTCCTACGATTCACAGTCGTGCTTAATGCTTTCCATTGATAGCCGAATTTTGTCCACCGTCGCTAATTTCTTTTGCCGCGAGATTGTCTTGCATATTAACATTTTACCACCCCCTTTTCCTGCCTCAAAACACACGCGATCATAATAACAAACGTATCATGTTATCAACAACTGTTTCTTACGTAACGACTGCACATTTCATTTACCCGACTCGTTCGTCCTTGTGTAGTTCAGTAGCGGTTACGTTTATCTTTGAAAAAAAATACGCCCTATTGCCTCCATAGGCCACGTCCATGTTGTTTGAAAAACGTGGACGAGTTCACTGAAGTGTTACAGCCCCTCCATATCGATTCTGAACAAGGAATACATTTATTTTTAAACCTGTCGCTATGGCCTATTGCCCTAATAAACCGATCCGATTCTTCCTTGATTATATTTATTATAAATTGAGAGGACTTTCTGGTCGGGTTTTGAAAATCAAAACTGTAGAATGTTAAATTTTGTTGGATAATGAAAAATTCGCGTACGTGTGCTCGGACCAGTCAACCGTACGCATAAGAATATTGTAACTGTTTGCGTTTTACTAGGCCGGTTATCTGATGCCCTATGGCACGTTAATGTTGTGTTGTAATATTGTAATCAATGCTTTAAAAAATTATTGCATGCCAGTACGAGCGTCCTCTCACTAAGTTCACTGTCTCAACATGTCTAATAGTTTACTTTTTAATTAACTGTCAGTTACACCAATAATAGTCTCCATTGTAATGCTTTTCATTTTATTTCAACATGTTGGCGCATCCAGCAAATGTACCAATATTCTTTATAAGTAAATATAATGAACTTTGCTGAACAATAGACAATGCTTATCTATGCTATTGTTTTCATTCTGACAGTTTAGGTCCATTGTCTTACAAGAGATTACAGAACAAGGGACCCTCCTGTTAAATGCCTGGGGGGTGCGAATGCAGTAATATTCTGTGTCAAGTGTCAGTTTCTCAAATCAATAAATTCTTTATTTATAACCTGAATGTTGTAAATTTGCTGTTCTGGTGAAATGTGGTTTGATTTATAGCTGAGTTTAACAAGATAACATTTCTTTATCTAGATTCTGTTTAATGTTCACGTAGTCCCTCAGTAGTCCCTCAACCGGCATCAAGCGAGTTACATCTGTTGTAGAACTACTACTGAATTTTCATCTTCACTTTTAGAAGTAATTTTTGGTTTATGTGTACATTTATTGTTGGCTTTATTATTTAAATGTAGCTTATTTTGACCATAGAGACGCCTGTCTTATTAGCAACTGTATGCGGTACCGATGAAGTAGATATGGTATTATTAGTGTTGAACCAAAAAAAATCATCATTTCTCATTTGTGTAGATGCTCCAATAGAAGCTGCATTCCCTTTGTTGCATTGTAGCATTTTTATAGAAGCCACGGCTTCTAATGCAGATTTTACAGTAGTGTCCTAACAGTGTCTTTTATTTTGAGTGAGTTGGTCGTTTTATTTTAAAATAGAGCTGTGTTGGTGACAGCTGTCTGACCTCAGTTTATGTTAAAATCTGTGGTTTCATGCCACTGTGTGCCAACATTAGCGTAGCTTGTGATGGTATAAGAGAAACATTTAAAATATATTATGCCGATGTGAAGAGATAAGACAGTTAAGTCACCTGAGGTGTGGTGTGGATAGGGGGCCATCAGTTCCAGTCTAAATATTAGGTTAAAGCTTGCATTTACACTGACTTAAAAACAGATACCTTGTTACACCAGTGTGAACAGGCATGACTTTTTGTAGTAAAAACACAATTGCAGGTTGTCTCCGATATCAATTGCCCGAAACAAGGTGCATTTGCTCTCCAGTATCGGCAAATCCTGTCTGATTTGTGTGACGTTTGATAACAAAAATTAGTGTTTACTGAATCGATGGAATACTAATTTTGAAACGCACCTGTACACAAGCCTTGTACCATCCTTCAAGATGCAACACGACTATCAAAATCTTGACAAAGTTGTGTCATTGCCACAACTCGTGAGTGCGGTTAATGCCATGCTAGACCAAGCCTGACTGTGGGATGTAGTGCGTGATTGTCTTCTCAGTTTAAAATCTTGCAACACGACTAGGGCCACATCCATCCATGCATCAAAGAATCCCTATCAAGTCAGCTGTGGTGTCTTGTCGCATAAGAGACGCAGACCACCACCCTCTACAACCCGAGTCGTCTTCTGTTGTAGTGCGTTTTTTTTACGGCGTTATTAATGCGGTAATTCAAAATGCAGTGCCTTGAAAAGTAATCAAAAGTAGTTTTCTTTGTGCACAGGCGTGTACAATGCTATTGTCAAAAGTCCTATTAAACTTGGCATGATTATTGTTATATCAGGGTAGATTTCATTTAGTGTATTGAAACCAACAAACTATTATATATGCACTTCACTGAAAACGCGGCATTTATTGAAGAGAGATAATACTGGATGTGTGTATGTATGCAAGGTACAAAATGTCATCAGGTGGACATGCACTCAAAATGTTGGATAAATGCCAGATTTAATTTATCAAGCAAATTGTTGAACCAGTGCTTTGGTTCAGGTTTGTTGTTTTGCCATGAAAAACAGCTAGGGTCATTGCGAAAATATAATGAATTTGTGCTTGTAAATGTACAATGAAGTATTAGGTTCATATTAGCAACACTTGATACTTGCATTGTCTTCGTTTATACATGCATTGAATTTTCCTCCGGGTACCCACTTAGTGCTGCGAAAAGAGTAAAAATACTGCGATAAATATTTTTACTGTGATTAATCGGACCATGTTGTGTTAGCGCACGTTTTTCAGCATTTTTGTAACATTCACTCTATTTATTAAACTGTGAAAGCGTTATTTTTTGAGTAGGGTTTAATTTTACGGTTTAGAGTTTTCAAGAATGCTGTATTTTGATTTTGCAAGGTGCCATTTTACCAGTAGCAGTGAAGGGGGGTGCCAAATAGATTTCTGTTGAAAAACATTTAATGGTTGATCTAGTATCGTAATGTCTATAAATCAGCCTACAGACGCAACACCTGGGTAGACGTGCCTACTTGCACATTCCTAATTATGTAATACCTGTGAATTTTCAGCAATTTGGAACTAGGAATATTATTACTGATTGTATGCTGTATTTACAATTACTCGAGTTTGTCAAGATTAACTGGGGAAAAAATCTTAATTGGGAGGGGGGCAGGTTCCTTGTAGAATACTCTCGTCAAACACTTATGTAATAAACCACTAAGTTTTACATACAACTCGTTAAAATGGTTGAAAATGGATTTCGTACAAAGTCTTTTCGGTGAAAATTACAGCTTAAAATAAAAGTACTTTACAGTATTAATTGAGGGAAGAAGGGGGCACTCCTACCCGAGCCACCAGTCTGATGTTGAATTACATTGCGACAACGGGCCTTACCAAAAACACCAGATAAAACTCTAGGTTAGGGTGGAGGTTTTTTTGATAAAATTATTTTGGTGTTGGGGGAGGGGGGAATTAGAGAGCACCACATCAAACTGCTTGTCGATATAAAATTTAACTCTGGCAACGTGTACAACTTGTAACATTCTCTGTATTTAAGCTCTCCTGCGACATGTGATATGTTAATATTTATAAAGTATGGATTACTCTATTTTAATCTTTTTAATAAGCTAATGCTTCATGTCAGAAAATCTGCTAGGTTAGGAACTCCCTGGGAAATTGTTACTTTCACAAGCTGCTGCACTGCACTCAATAATTGTCATTGCATTCTGACGTCCTGCAACCTGGCATTAATTATTAATAAACTGCCTTCGATTTGTATTTTTCTCCTGCCCTCTGGGGGGAGGGGGATCGTTGATTTGTTTCCCCACTTAACCTTTTCACCACAACACTTTCTCGCTCAAATTAGTTTTTTTTTAGCTCCGCTGTCGACTTTGTGATTGTCCGTCGTCGTCCGTCAATGTTTTACTTTTTCGACTTCTTCTTGAAAACTACAAGCCTGAATGCTTTGATACTTGGTGTATATGTACCTTTGGTAGACCTCTCTTAGGTTTGTTCATTTCATGTTGATATCTTCAATTCTCTAATTTTGGTGAATATTTTTGTCATTTTTGGTAAAAAGTGATATTTTCGACTTGTTAAAAACTGCAAGTCCAATTGCTTTGATACTACATATATAGGTACTACATGTGGACCTCTGTCAGATTTGTTCATTTCGTGATATCTTCGATTCTCTAATTTTGATGAATATTTTTGTCATTTTTGGTAAAAAGTGATATTTTCTTCTTGTTAAATACCACAATCATTTATGGTCAAAAATGATATTTTTGAATTCTTGTTGAAAACAGCAAGTCCCATTGCATTGATACTATTCATATTGTTCATTTTCTAATGATGTCTTCAATTCTTTAATTGAAATGTGCATTGCTAACAGCGGAGCTATCTCAGTCAATAGGCTGCTTGTTTTATTCTGGAAAGGAACTCTCATTTTGGATCCAACGAAGAAAATTTGAGTCAATTTTCGGTTTTACCTTTAAAAAATGGCTATTTTTGTTGCAATCGTTTAAAGGAAAGTGTAGGCTATAAACGAGATTATTTTGTGATGAAAAATAAGAACTAGTGGTGGAAAGGTTAACTAAATTAAATGTAGTCGGCACTGGTTTAATATTGGTAATGTTTTAAAATTCATTTATCCTATCTAGCATGTTATTTTAGTTAATCTGCAATTTTGCTAATTCAAGATGGCGCTAATTTAAAATAAAGTAGACTCGCAAAGATTTTTGGCACTTCAGCGAAATTAAGATTCTGTTATTCTTTCACCGTCAAGTTTGCTAAAATTGCATGTAGCTATTTCAACTCTTGTTACAGAAAAGCTGTGACATTTTGTTCACACGCCTAAAAGTCTGTTCATGTCCATTGTATGTGAAATAAAAGTAATCCATGCTATACTGTGTATTACTCCTGTCTATGAATGAACTGTGGTACAATCAAAATACTGTGGAATACTTTATTTTCGCTGGAATTAATTTTCGCTGACAAGGCTTTTTGGGAGTTTTGTATGGAACTCATTTTCACTGATTTTTGATAAATTTAATGTGAAATATAGGGAAAAGTATATTCGCTGGATTTTATTTTCACGGAATCATCCATTCAGCGAAAATAAATTCCAAGCGAAAATAAAGTATTCTACAGTATTCTTGTATTGCCTTTGTTGTAAGCAAATACAATGCAATTTATTCAAGTCCTTGTTTCTCTGAATAAACATCTGATAGTGATCTCCCGCTTTATTTTTCTGATGTCGATTCTAACTATGTAGTGGAAGGAGTTAGTCGTGTAAGCGACCATATTGAAATAACGAACCAAAATAATTCAATTTAAAATTGTTTGCAAAGCGTTGTTAACTGATTGGGCGGCATGAATTTGGACAGAAAAGTTTATGTATTTTTTTTTGTTTTGTTTTTTGTCATAATTTTTGACCAAATTGACATAGTTTTTCAATTGGCTGAAGCTCTTGATAAAATTTTGGGAAATATTCTGTTACTAAAATTTGTAATGGACTGGTGCTCAAAGTACCACTCCTTTGCAGTGTGTGTAGAGTGCATGTTTGAATTTGTCAAAATTCATGTTTTACTTTTTCTTCTTGAAAACTACAAGCCTGAATGCTTTGATACTTAGTGTATATGTACCTTGGGTAGACCTCTCTTAGGTTTGTTCATTTCATGTTGATATCTTCAATTCTCTAATCTTTGTCATTTTTGGTAAAAAGTGATATTTTCGACTTCTTGTTAAAAACTGCAAGTCCGATTGCTTTGATACTATACATATTGTTCATTTTCTAATATCTTCAGTTCTTTAATTGAAATGTGCATTGCTAACAGCGAAGCTATCTCAGCCGATAGGCTGCTTGTTTCTATAAAAACCCCTGCTATAAAATTTGTTATCAGAAACTCCAAATTTGATTGGCCTAATTTTCTTCTATTTCATTTTTCAGTTGTTGCGTCCTTTAAGAAACAGTGTTGCTTGTGTAAGTACTAGCAAGATTACTCAGGGCCAGGTTGCTACCCAGGATGTGCAGGCAGAGGAGGCTCCGAAGCAGTCGCCTGTATGGTCTTGTAACGAATGGGATCCATTAGAGGAGATCATCGTAGGGAGAGTGGAAGGTGCTCACGTGCCGCCATTCACTGTCGAGGTCAAGGTAAGTTTTCTGGTGAAATCAATTAAAGTCGTGCTTATCACAATGCCTAATATGGTATTAGTAATTTATGCGTTTACGTAATTGTAATTACGTTGTTGGATCCAGCATACAATAGCCAGACATTAAAGGGTGGTGGTCTTCTAATTTCATACGAACGATTAATTTTACATGCGTGTATGTCGCTGTACTATATCGAACAGGGTGTGGTGCAATGACAGTCGACCTTTTAAAGCCCAGAATAGTATTTATAAACTTTAATCTTTTATGAAGTAGCCTGGTTACCTTCCCATCATTTTATTGAGCTTTGTCAGAATGTGTGTATTATTTCACCTCTGCGGACAAGTGTTTGGCAGTGATTGGCTGATTAAGACAGTATGCTACTAATCTAAATGTGCAAGCTTTCTAAACGGTGGATGAGTGACCGTAATTACTGCATTTGTAGCACATGGACGCGGCAAAATGTGAATTGCCCTGTATACAATACATACAACAGGAGTTCTTTTTTGCAACTCTCGCCCGCACCCCAGCCTTCCAATTCAGTTGTACATGCCCCTTTTCTAGATATCCATAGACGTCCTTAGGAGGAACATGTACAATTAAATTGGGAAGTGTTAAGGTAAGCTAGGAGGCAAAAGGAACTTTCCCATACAACTATTAGCTTACATGGGCTGCCATTGGAGACTCGCATCGAATACTGTAAATTACTCTATATTATCATAGACCTTAGAAAACATTTCCAAGGTCTATGATTTTACCTGAAAAGATATTTTAGGTGCTTTGTGAGGAATTTATTTTCACTTTTTTTTTTTTTTTGGCAATTTGAATGTAAAACATGGGAAAAAAGGTATATTTGCTTGATTTTATTTCCACTGAATCATCCCTTCAGCGAAAAATGAATTTTAAAGCAAAAATATATTTTACAGTAAAGCAAATAATATGCTTGTTTTCGCCATGCGTAATTAATGGTGACTTTTGAATAAATTGACAGTTTACAAATTCTAGGAAACAATTTGATTAGCGTGTAGAGATTCCCGATGAGGAAATGACCTGAAAAGGCAATGTATTCTGTATACTGTGGAATACTTTATTTTCGCTGGAATTAATTTTCGCTGAAAAGCCTTTTTGGACGTTTTGTATGGAATTTATTTTCACTGATTTTTTGATGAGTTTAATGTGAAATATAGGAAAAGAAGTATATTCGCTGGATTTTATTTTCACGGAATTATCCCTTCAGCGAAAATAAATCCCAAGCGAAAATAAAGTATTCTACAGTATAATTGAGACTTGTTTCTGTACTGGAAGTTATGGGGATTTTCTCCAATATTGAGGGTCTGTGAAGCAGAATATGGGGGAGGTCACAATTCCTGGCAACAATTTTGTTTGTTGCCACACTGTCCCACAATAGGAAGGTAGCTGTACTATGTACTGTACATGTCTGACTAGAATAAAGGCTAAAATAAAGATCAGTTGAAAATGAAAGAAAGAAACTTTGGCAAGTTCAGGATATAACCTTTGTAGTAGCTTTATATGATCTTGGCAGTCTGCCAAACTTATTATATTGAAAAGAATAAGTTTTATTCCTTGAACGCGACTCGTTTACTGTAAAGGGGTTAATTATTCCCTTGGTTTTAATTTTGCTTATTTCGCTGACTGGCAAATGCGCTAAATTAAAACCCACTGAATATGTAAAATTTAGCATAGAACACATTATCTAGATGATAAAACCGTGAATTTAAAACCTACTGAATATGCCTGAAATGGTAAATCGGTGAATTTAAACCCAGTGAAAATTAGTCATTTTACAGTAGCTTTCACGTTTTCAGTGTTCTTTTATTGTGTATGCATATCAATATTAAAATATACATAGAAATGTCAATGCAAAGCTACTTTACATGATTGTACCTGATTGGCTACCCGACATCTAATAGACCAATCAGAGAGCAGCTTTGTTTTGACAGGATTTTTTGATGAAGAAAAAAAAATCTAAACCAGAAAAATGAAAAAAAAAAGGCATCTCATTAAAAAAAAAAACTAATTTAGGTGTATTTGGACAAGATTCTTGCTTTGAATAATATACTGCCCAATTTTTTGCTTTTTGGCTGTGGCATAATGGGTTAAGACGTCTTTTCCAATATTTTTTGGGATATTTCTTTGTTGAAAACAAAATACATCACTGGATTAGCGAGTTGATATTTTCTCCCACAATGCATCATTCCACATGCATTCAAGCTCAGTGGTGTAAAATATAAATTGAACTCTGAATGTCAGATCTCCCGGAGTTTTTTAGTTTTGATGTACGGTAGGAGTAATCAAAATGCCAATCCAAGCATACTGACAACATTCCTACCCTTGGTAATTACAAAAATTAAAAACATGCGAGATAATTAAAAATGATTTATTAGTTGCTATTTGGGTCCTTGTTTGTGTTTGTACTTCAACTAATGAATACCCCCAATGGAGTTATCTAGCAGTAAAGATGCCTTGTCCCATTGCCTGGTAATCGGCGTCTGTCAGTTTTGTATTAGCATTTCAACAGTGCTACACAAATACATGAGAAAAATATATCAATTTCATATTACTGTCAAATGACTATTTTTCACTGGGTTTAAATTTCGCTGATTTACCATTTCAGGCATATTCCGTGGTTTATAAATTCACGGTTTTATCATTTAGATAATATGTTCTATGCTAAATTTTACATATTCACTGGGTTTTAATTTAGCGCATTTTCCAGTCAGTGAAATAAGCAAAATTAAAACCCAGTGAATAATAACTCTTTTACAGTAGCTGGAAAAGATTTATTCTACTTTGTTTTAACATCTTGTATAGATCATTTTGATAATTGCATTCATGCATTTTTCATGCTTAAACGTTTCGTTCCAATCTTGTCTTTTTGAAGATGTCCAGTGAGTGCAAAACGGGCCCTCTCTAAAAGCACTGAGGCGAGTGATTTCAAATGTGTCAAAAAAAAAATAACTGTTAATTTAGTGGGGGGGGGGGGGTAATTTTTGTTATTCGCAAGTCCAAGCCAGTCTGCTTTGTCTATTAATTACATATATTGAATTTTCATATCGTGTTTTTACATGAAATGTATTGTTAAATAGAATATTAAACTATAAATAAGTCTCTGAAAAAAAAACATGCCATCTTTCTTTTAAATTGGTGTGTAAAATGTTGCCTGTGGCAGAGTTTTGAATTCCTGAACCAAATGGCAACAGGATTAATCAGTTGGAAGAATTACCTTTAACAGCGATAGTCTACTTCTGTCACTTTACACAAACTTCCTCATTTATTTAAATATTTTGCCGATTTCATTACAGCTTATAGGCAGTGCAAATTTGTCAATTTTGTCCTAACAAACTATGCACAAGGATTTTCTTAAACGAGGGAACAGAGGCGCAGCGCCCTCATGCCATGGCCATGCGCTCCCTTACCCTGGGGAACAGATCCTCTGGCAACCATAAAATTCTGAATGACCAGGGATCACATGTGGGGGCCAGTCTTCAACTGTGACCTGTCTGACAGTAATTTTGGCCCCAAGAATGCTCAATTTTAACTTAGAATTATCAAAAACTCCACAATCTGGTAGGGAGAACCCTATCTCCCCCACTTAGTGGCTCTACTGAATTGCAGTGCACCCTCTAGCAATTTTTTTTCTAGAAAAAACCCTGATACGTTAATGTACAAAAATTAAAATTAAAATCAAAGACTCGAAGTTTGTCATTGTATCCTAAAAAGGACATTTAATCGAGATAATTATGTACGCACGTATGTAATTTTTATTAGTGAGTTAGAACTGACGTAGTCAGGCTATTTATGCAGTGTACAAAGTTCTAGTCGAGATACTGTGAAAAGATTAATTATTCACTGGGTTTTAATTTTGCTCATTTCGCTGAATGGAAAATGTGCTTAAATTAAAACCCACTGAATATGCCTGAAATGGTAAATCAGTGAAATTCAACCCTAGTGAAAATTAGTCATTTTTACAGCCTTTCGATTGTACATTGCACTGACTGCACATCAAGACTATTGCTCGGGGACAATTTAAGTTGTTGGATGATTTTGGTTTACAAACCGATTTCATGTGGTGCATATGTGCTGGTGAATGTCTTTCGTTTGACCAAATTGATTTATAAAGGTTATCAAACGTACCTATCATGTTGCAGTTGATGCATATCGATTCAATTAACTAAAGGTTTTTATCTCATCAAATTTATCCCTATTATTGATACAAGTCTGTTATAAACAGCAGAAAATTTGATACATCAAAAAAACAACCTGCTCTGATTGGACAACTGTTAGAGTTAGGTAGCCAATCAGACGCAACATCGCATTGACTCAGGGAATAGACCATTTTCCGTTTACTGCGAGAATCACGCGTTGTGCGTGAAATCGACCGTAAAAACAGGACAAACAAAGGTCGTAGTGGAGTCAAACATCGCGTAGGATTCGACAAACGCGAAAGTATTTCGGGGGATATTTCCATGCTTAATAATGTGCTGTACACATTTGATGATAGACAATTTCAATTGAGGGTATTCGGAAGCAATATTCCTCTGTCAAAGATCGGCTGGTCGATGTGAGCTATGAAATAAAGAAATTCAAGTTCAAAATCAAATCGTTTGATTTTTGCGGCAGACGTTCGACGCGAGTCTTTCATGCATCTCGCGAGATCTCGCAGTTGAACGGAAAATCACTAATTGTGCGAAACTAGACCCTGATCAAAAGCAAGATTTTTTAACCCCTATGGTCAGGAATATTATTGACAAATAGAAAATGCATGAACTGTCTGGTATTTTTGGTATTACGTGGAACTCCTCATGTACGTTGTATCGCCATCGTGTAGCTGACCTCTTCTCCTTAGTTAGGTTAGACGAGACTGATTGGAATGTTTTCAATTCTTAGCATCTTGATAAGGGAATCAGTTGAAACATTCACATCGTTTTCAGCATCAAATTATATAAACTGTGCAATACATAAACTATGCTTGAAAGGTCAGCTCGTTTGATGACCTGAATGTTGTCTTGACCTTTTCACAGCCGGGACTCTCGCCCAAATTTGTCAAAAATTTTTTTTGTATTCTGCAGTACTACAGTATCTCTGGAAATGAATCCTAATTTTAGAGCCAAGACAAAATTTGAGTCAATTTTCAGTCTTTACTCTAAGGATTTTGTTTTTGTCCCAGTGTTCTGAAGGCAGACTTATAAAAGGATATTGACTGATTTGAGAATTCTATTTTTATTTCTTTGTTTGCAAAATTCTAATGTCCTTTATGCAAGCGTCAATTTGAATACGTGGCATGGAATATCAAACATGACGCACGACACAGACCATCATTTTTTAATCAGATGAAGTGATGGCCCGGCTTAATATTGTTATTTAAACATCAACGTATTCCAAGTTTCTTTGATTGAAGACAAATTTTAGCTCCTGGGGTCAATGAAGCAATATCCAATATTTCCAAGTTAATTCAGTTCTTCTCGTCAGTCAGTCTTGATACCAGTCTCTTGAGTAACTGATACATGTATTGAATTAATTTGAAACGTTTCTGTTGAAGTGGGACATAATTGCATTGTATCTTGATATACTGTTTGTTCTAGAAATGTTTATTCCCAGCAGCTTTAATTTTACATTTCAGTGGTGAGAGATATAACATGCTCGAGGTTTACGTCTTTTATGAACAAAGATGACTACCGTAAAATCTGTATTAGAAGCCGCATCCCTAATAGAAGTCGCATCCATACTATTTGAATAATTGAGAACTAAAAATTCATCATTTCTCATATGTGTAGATGCTCTAATAGAAGCCGCATCCCCTCTGTTGCATTGTACTATTTTAATAGAAGCCGCGGCTTCTAATACAGATTTTACAGTAGTCCTAGCTGAGAGGTTGCAAGCTATAATTAGACAATTTTTAAGTGATTGGAAGATATCGAAGGAGTCGCCGGCGATAATTAGTGCAAGTCGCGCCCAGGTCAAACCTCATACTTGTGATTTCCTTCATAAGTGCATTGGATTGTGGGAAAATCAATGTTTATCAACACAAATATTGCATATACGTGGCATAACGACCACCGCAGTTTAATATATGCCACACTTAATACTCTGCAGTGTATGCAAGTAGAAACGATTCCTGGCTCTGTTCCCTAACTTGACTTTGGTTGGAGCTAGTGCACTTTTCACCATTTGAA